AAAGAACCCACCCTCAGCCCCAGCCCCCATTTGGGGGGCAGACACCGGCTGGGAAGCAGTTTCTAAGTCCCTTGGGCTGAAGCCCAGGGGGCTGTGTCCCCACGCAGCCAATGAGATCCAGCGATGCCCCAGTGGATGATTAACTCAAAGCTCGGTGACCCTGGGTCCGCTGTGTCCCTGTCCAGTCTCTGGAGAAAAGCCAGTGTCTGGCTGGGATGAGTGTGGGTGCAGGTGAATACCCCTCCCTGGCCACCTCTCCCTGAGCCAGAGGCCTCTGAGGCCCAGGGGGATCACTGGCATGTGATTTCTGCTCCACCGCGCCCCCCCACCCCCGCCATCGCCTGTTGAAGTCTGCTGTTGTTGAGTTAGGGTCCTAGCTTCTCATCAGACCTTGGTCTTGCAGAAACTGACAAAAGAGGCCCTCTTTTCTCCCCAGAGGCCCCCCCACCAGGGGCCAGGGTCTTCCTTCAGAGAGGTGTGTGTGTCTGTGTGCGGACGCATCGGGGTCCAGAGAGTCACAGCCAGGCTCCCTCACACAGGGGTGTCCCCCTCAGAGGCTCTCACAGCGGCCATGTCAGACACAGGTGCCCACAGACACAGCCGGACACTGAGAAGACAGCATCCACCCAGCGATGTTCACTGAGGACGACGGAGACCCAGCACCACGAATGCACCCAGACTTGCGTCTGCACACGCGTCACCCTTCCAAGAAGAGAGGCCCCCACCAGACCACATCTGCCCTGCTGAGGTGCGCACATGCCGATGGAGCTCCACCCAGGATAGAGGGCTTCAGAGTACCCTTGGGGGACAGCCCAGAGGGCACAGCCCTCTCCAGAGGGAGTGTGCCTGCCGGGGCACAGGCACAGAGCCACGGGGCCACTCAGCTAGTCAGAGCAAGCACGGGCACACTCAGTTTACAAAGAAACTGGGGACTCAGTCTCCCAGGGCTGCGTGAACATGGTGGAGGCGGAAGGGAGACGTCCACTTTGACTCTGGGTTTACAACCACGCAGCCGCCATGCTGCCCAGTGGAACCCAGTCAGGCTCTCGCAGACAACCATTTCTCTTCTCTCCTCAGCCCGCTGACACCTCCCCCGCAAACAGTGGTCTCCATTCCTCAGGCAGGGAGGGACGCCCAGAAAGGACGCCCACCGCAGCCTTCCTCCCGCTGGGTGTCTGCACCAGCTCTCTGCTCTCCTCCGGGGCCCAGAGACGAGAAATGAACTCCAGGCACGGCGTCCACAAGTCTCCTCTCTGTGGCGACCCCATCCGCAGCCCCTCCATCCCACCAGCACATCCCCCAGCAGGCATTTCTTCTCCATCTTAGCAAAGCCTCCCCTGGCCTGACTTCCTCCCTCCTCCGCGCTCCACTTCTCTCTCCGGCCACCCAACAAGGACCTCTCTCTTTGCTTCCTTCACCTTCAAGCGCCTGCAGGTCAGCTGAACAAAC